TCCCACTAACAAAAACAGTAGCAATAAGAAGGTTTGGACCATGTGTCCCAAAACCTGTTCATTAGTGGAGGATGATATTCTGTAGGAGTAAAGGACGGACTGGAGACGGGGACAAAGACAGTGCTGGTGACGGCAGTTTTCAGTTGGCGTTGCCTCCCATCTTGTTTGGGGGGGTAATCCCAACGGTACAGAGCTGCAGATAAAAGAGACGCCTGGACTACATTTAGGACCAGAACAGAGGAATTTGCTGCACCCAAAAAGCCGGCGATGGTGTTGTGCCATGCTTTGTGACAGGGCGTCCACATGACGCCGGTGGATGAGGCCACAGATCCAGATCCATTGTTCACCTCTCTGTGGTGCGTACGCTACGTCTGCCTCGGCATTGTCAGACACCGTTTTCAACTAATCAATACATGGCAACAGAGTTCACAACGACATGTACTCTGAGCATTTTGTAATTGATTTTTTTTGTCAAAGTCAGAAACATTTCTGTGACAAACTTTGTGGAAAAAAAACTCCATAAACAAACATAAAAATAACAAGGCCGTTCCTCTACGTATCTTCTTTTTGAGTCTAAACGAAAATCTGTGGGCCTGGTCTCAGGACAATGGTTCTAAAGTGGGGGCTGCCACAGGTCACTAGTGGCTAGAGGGGAAACATTTCAAACATTTCTTTAACCATTTGTCCTGAACCGGACAATACGTTTCTGAAAACACGTCTGTCAATTTATCCCAAACAAATGTAACAACTATTGAGGACTGAATGAAAGTAAGAAAATACATTCTAAAAGTTGATGTTTACTGACATATTTTGCTGCTTTGTCCGTGGGTTTGCACAGGCTCGAGGCTAATGCTGTTCTAGAAGATTCTTGTGTCTGTTCTAGTGGAATAACTGTTTCAGTAATGAATGAGTCCAACAGTCTGGTGCAATTTACTCATATAACATTAGGTGCTGAAAACACGGTAATTAGATCACATGAATCTGAGGTGTTGCCTGGTTCTCCCTGAACATCCACAAAGTCAACATTCTTCTGTGGTCTCTGACGGTACTGTATAATAAAATCAAAACTCTTCTTAAGTCAACATTCTTCTGTGGTCTCTGACCAAAACTCTTCTCTTCTCTTCTCACGCGGTCTAATAAAAACCTCCATCCTGTTCTGTGATCTCGTGCCGTCTTCTTTCCTTCACTCCTTTCATAATGTTGCTGCTTCCTCCTGCATTCCTGGTCTCTTTATTCCACCAGACTGAAGATCCTTCGTACGGCTTCTACACTTTCACAGTTTCTGCCACCAGTCACACCAGTAACCGTATTATACGTATATAAGGTGCAGTAAGGCCAATGTAATGCGGGGGCGCATTCGATTCTGTTTATAAATAACCTAAAGTTCACAAACTAATATTAATGAGGTTCCTACTCACCAGACAGGATCAATACTGGTTAATTGAATCACTATAAAGTCATTAACTTCCATTCTGCCGACTTCAAGCTCGCCGCCTCACAGTAAGTGCAGAGACATGCACTACTGCGAGCGCTGAGAGTTTAGTCCAGGGACGGGAGTTTAAACAGAAAACAGATGCTGAAGCCTGTGGTCGACCTGAGGGAGAACACTGTGTGTCTGTGTTTCCAGAGTCACCGTGCCACCAGGAGGGGCAGCGCAGGGCATCTGTCTGCAGCCCGGATGGAGGATGGTCAGAACACCACCCTCACCTGATAACACGTTGGCCCAGATTTGGAGGCAGCCGCTGACACAGTATCATCAGGCAGAGTCGCTGCCTGCTGGGAACTGTTGTATTAACTGTAACATGGCAGAATAAAAACAGAAAATCTTGATTGAGTGCAGGGATTATCCTCGCTGCCGAGCAGCAAAGACCTGAATAATACAACCAGCCTCTCTTTGTTACTGTTCAAAAAAAATGATTTGATAGTTTGTCATGAGGGACAAATGACTTACAAGATTTAATTATGTTTTTCGATAAAAAAATTAAGAGTTTTTCCTTTTTTTTTTTATATATATCTCTCTAAATAAAACGACCTTCGTATGATCCTGGGGCAAATTATTTCAAAAAAAGGAGATTGAAGTGCGGCTTTATCAATCTCTTTGATGCATTCTGGATCAGAGAGATTTCATCAATCTGTCTGATGAATGTGTGGGAGGGTGAGCAGAACACCAGCCCACACGGTTTAGCTATTAATCACACATTTAATGCCCATGAATCAGTGATGTAGCAAAAAGTAACGTTAATATACCCTGCAGTCTGGGATGCGAGTCACTACGAATAAGGACGTGTGCTCAGAGCCAGCGTGGCCACGCGTGTCGGGTGGGCGTCGATCTACAGACTCAGAGACTTTGATGGAGTTTCTGAATTAATCTGAAAATTGTTTAACAACATTTTCTCCGCTCCTTTTAACGAATCACCAGTCGTTTAGTCGTTCAGGATTTTTATAGAGGTCAGGAACGGTATTATAATATTTGCAGACATCTGCTTCTCTGACTGTGACCTAAATTCTCTAAAATGAATATTTACCAGAGGAAAACATTTCCTAATACAAATGAACTTATAACTGACATCACTGACACTTTGTCAGTCGGTTTTTACACCAGTTCCACCAGACCAAAAACATTGGACTTATATGGTCACAACATTTCTTTGTGCTTCAATTTAAGGCCTACTGTGTGACGTGACGTCACCTGAGACTTGACTCGTGTCATTCTACCTCAGGAGCAGCGGTCAAATTATAAATACTCCGGTGCAAACAAATATTAAAACCCATCATGGACTTCATTTATCCACTGCAGCTCAGGCCGTCGGCCCGGTCAGAGCAGCACAGGCTGCTGGCAGTGATGGAGATTAAAGTCGTCCCTGATGGACCAGCAGTGAGACATGGAGCTGTGCCAAGAACTGACACCTTTTAGATGAGCACGTAAAGAGCAGCTGTTTCACCACTGTTTAAGGTGAAAATCTGAACATGAACAAATGAACAGCTGAACAGACGGAAGAGTCTCTTCACCAAACCGCTCACAGTCACACGTACTTTAGAGCCTTCTTTTACTTTCTATTTCTTTTCTTTGCTCAACAATCAGGCAGTGAGCTTAGCTCCCATGTCCCGCTGTCATCCAGCCTGGTTAAACATCAACCTTGAACTTAAACAAACAGTAGACCAATCAAAAATATAGAGATATCAAGTCTACAGCTGCCAACTACTGACTTTGTCTTTTCCTTTCTCAAAGTGCTGAAAAAAAAGAAAAAAAAAAATTCCTTGATAAGCAGCTAGTTTGTTAGCATGTTGATACGCTCAGTGTGCTTCACTTCGCCCATTGATAAAATGGGTAAAACGCAGTTTGCCGTTGACATCAATTAGAGTGGAAGGTGCAACACAGCAAATAAGGCACAACAGCTTTGTGTTTCAGATTCTCCGCAACACCATTTCCTCAAAGGTCACCGCTGTCAAACCTGTTTGTCCTGAGTTATCGCCGCTATAATCGGACTAAAACTTCCCCAGGTCAACTTGGCAAGACAAATATGCAAAGATTTATTTAAAGTGTGGTAAATCCAAAGGAATTCAATGGAGCGCATCTGTCAAAAACAAACAAAACAAAAAAATGCTGTTTTAATGCTGGTAAATCAACTGCTGCAAACGCACTTCTGGTTGATGATGTCATCATATTCGGCTCCTGCTTGTGTTTAAAATGACAACATGATGCTCCGCCTACACCTGTGACAACTGAACGCTGCTACTGCACCACTGAAAATGTGCTGATGAGAAGCAGCACAGAAACGAACTTCAATTATTTCTACAGCTTCATACCATTTCCTTCTGTTTACAGATACCTTTGAGTTGTTTATGAAATCTTTGCTGAAATGATTTTCAATTCAATCTTTTTTAATTTCCACAATAAACCTGTACTTTTTTGCACAGAAACAAAACAAAAACACTAGATGATGGACCTTATTTTTATTACAGTAATTTGATTTTATTTGTACTTTTCAGAGGCACATACATGAAGTTCTCTGTCCACAGTCTTGGCCTGGCCACTGATGTTACTGTGGCCAGTCCAGGATTATGCCATAATCCTTATTTGTTAGGGTTCCTGATGATTGACAAAGTCAAAAGTCAAAAGTCATGTGCTCAAAATTGATTTTTTTTTTAATCAGGAGTTTCGTTCAAAGCACGTACCACTAAAAACTGCAACGCTGCAACTTGCAGCTAAGCGTCCTTATGGCGTATGTTCCAGCTTGTTAGCAGCATCAGCACATCAGACAGTAAAACACGTCTGGCTCAGTTTCACATAACGGAATGGAGAAAGCAGCTGCTGGACTTAAGGCCGCACTGGGCTGAATCAAAGAGCCCAACATTATTATCTTGGCTGAAGTCGAGGCCTATGAAGTTAGGGCTGTTGAAGCTAGTTAAAGCAAAATGCTCGGAAAAATATTCACAGTCAAACAGGACAGGTACATTTTCTTTGTTAGGACGGGGGATTTAAGGATAATGTGTGAGCGTAACCATGGAAACTCCAGAGTAACAGGAGGGAAAAAAAGATTTTCTTTACAGCAAAGTTGACCACATATGTCCCTCGGAAGACTTTTAATGGTTTCTGGCTGCAAAAAACAGTACTTTAGGAGAGCCTGCCGCCTGCATTTTGAGGTCTGGACAGAGGAACTGCGTGAGCGTGTCTCACTTGGTGCAAGGCTAACACAAGACACACGCCTCACTACACTGAGCTGCACAGGAAGACAAATGCTAAGACCATTCATCACTATGGCAGTGACTGAGGGGACTCTGGTCGTCCATACACAGCACATCAGACCGTGTCGTCTCAACAGAGAGTTCATGAAGACCCTTTAGGCACAAGAGTCAAAGAAGCTGCAAGTTCAATTATGTTTGCCAACAAGCTCACAGTGAAAGGAGCGACTGGGAGAACCAGTCGTCCAACTCTGAGCTAAACATTTGTTTCTTTTTCCAGGAATCCCTTTTGAAACCACCACACGCTGCAGGCCAGCCATTTTACATCACTGTTTGTTTGATCAGTGCAGGCAATAAAGTTCACAACTGGTTTCCCATCAGAGACCGTCCTACAGTGAAAGGTGTTTGTGGGAAAATCAGCAGGAGAAGAGAAAACCCTTCTGATCCTTCTGACCCTCAGCTTCAACACTGGAGAACTTGGTGCTAACATCTGAGCTGGACTCAGAGTTCAGACAACCACGCCGTGAAGCTGGTGCTGGGAACAGAACCTCTGTTAATAGTTTACACTGTGTCTGCATGGACTCTGGTCACATCTGGTCCAGCGATAATATTTTTAGGCAGAATCGTCACAATGGAGACTCGGTGACTAACGTGTGTTTAGACTGAGCAGAATGAAAAGAAGCTGAACTACATGGAGCTCAATTCAAATCATGTACGACCGTGTTATTTATGCACAAACAAACACGACAATCTTCTACAGATGTTTTGGCAGAATTTGTCCAACAGAACCACCACTTGACAGATTCATCCTCTCCATTATCTAATGCAAGTCACACAGTCAAACAGTGTTCATCTTCTTAGCAAATAAATCAGTTTATTAGTTCCAGCTGGCATTTCACTGCCATTGATTATGGGGATCAGAGGGGGTTTAGGTCAGGCCACCAGCAGAAAGGAAGCCAGCAATCTGAGACAAAAAGATCTTTGGAAAGTTTGTCAAAGTGGTGACTACGTTTATTCATGCAGTCCAGGCTGGAAAAAGTTCCAGTTCACTGCAGTTCAGTTTGTATGTAGCACTAGTTTGACCTGAACATTAATAATCTGTACAAACTAAACATATAATTACACACACATACACCCATGGTATATGCACATACAGTATATGCACACATACACCCATATGTACAAACTAAACATATAATTACACACATACACCCATAGACAAACACACACATACAAAAGTGTACATACATATATATGCATACACTCAACCAAATTTAATACATTCCAATCTAATCTAAACATATATAAATACACATGCATGAGCATATACTGCATGTATTCACAGGTATACGTTTTTATGAATACATACCGCAAATACATATGCACATATATGTATACATATATATATATATATTGGACTTTCAGAGTTAATATATTGCACAAGAGTCAGATGTAATAACCGACTGCTCCAGTTATCATTTTTAAATGGAAACCAGTCTTTGGTTTCCGTTGCCTAACCCCCAGAAACTAAGCAGAACAAGACAGAGTGAGTCACAGAACAATGACAGGGATATCTGCTGTCATTGTCGAGTGTTTCCTCTGTGTATTATCCAAACTGAGTATCCATCCAAGAGGCAGCATCTGAAAAGAATGAACTGGCTGCTCACTGCCCTCATGAACTACAGACATTCAGCCTGGACGTACACAGATGTATGCAATTAACAATCACGCCTTTTTCCACAGTTAGTCGACAGACTTTGTTTGTTTTGGACACATGGCCGCAAAACCAAAAACAACATCAAGTGAGAACTCGACATCTCTGTCCTGACACTTTCATCATCCAACCATAATAATTCGTTGACAAAGAAAAGCATAGAGAACTCCCAACCCCCTCCGGCTCTTTGTGGGAAAATGAATGAGTTGGGAAGCAGAGCGTCTTGTGCAGAAAGTTAACTTTAGAGAACAAACTTGCCGCGTGTGCAACAGCAGGGAATCGAAAAGGAAACTGGACGGAGAAAAGTCCATCACGTTGAGGCGCCGAGACCAGCAGAAGATGCCAAACTCACCTCTTTATCTCTGCAGGAGCTGCTCCCTGTTGTTCTAAAAAAAAATCCACTCTCTGGACAGAATCAGGGTCCCAGAAGTGATTTCAGCAAAGTGGAGAGTCCTTGTCCCGCTGCCTTCAGTTCTGTCGTGTTCTCCCGTGCGGTGTGAGGCTGGACGTGGCTCTCACCCGAATCTCAGCACTTTGAATGGAGCTCTGGGTGGACTTGAGAGGGCAGGGTCCGCCGGGCGTTGGGAGCGGCTGGAGCGGCGTCACAGGGCTGGTCCCAGCGTCCCATAATCACCTCGGTGCGTGGACGGGGGCGGAGGGTAAGACTGGGGTGTGATGCCTTCACGTGGTGTTAGATTTATCACCAAGTACTTCGACGAGAGAAGTAGTGATGACTGCCATTTGTTTTAAATTTTAATATTTATATACATGTATAGATAAATAGAAACTTAGCAAGATATACAACCAAGTGACTTAATTATAATAACGAATTGTAATTTTGTTAAATAGTTTTTTTTCAATATCTAATTGAGTATTTTAACGGAAAACTCCATTTATATACGTGACATTATTTTTCAATTGAGTATTTTAACGGAAAACTCCATATATGTGACATTATTTTACTTTTTTTATTTAAAGGGCCATGATAAAAAAATTTTACGAAACATTGTTCCCAAACTCTTGATTTCGGTTTAACGTAGAGACTTTAATTATGTTTCCTCGCCCCGTTTTAAATTTATATTTATATTTTAAATTTTGATGAATGTTACAAATTGTCTGAATAAAGTTGAATAATGATCACATATTAACCGCCACTTTCGGAACTATCTCGTGAAAATACATTGACTGTTTTTGTATTTAACTGTCAGAGGTTGGTTTGAACGACTTATTTATCTACATATTTAAACGTGTTGAATGTCAATGTAGTGATTACGGTAAGATTTACGTGGTGAACGTAAACGCAACATTAAAGGTTTCCTCTGGCGCTGGACTGCAGATTCCACCCGACAGAACAACACTCCCCTCCTGTGTCTCCATTCTTAATAGCAGCAGGGATTTCTCACAGATTCGTTAATTAAAAATAATAATAATTTAAAAAAAACTTTTGGTGAGTTTTGTGTGTGAATGAACGGTGTAAAGACAGACCATAAAGGGCTTTACAGAGCTTGTACAACTTTTCCTAATTTGATAGCATCGAAGTGTTTTATACACAACTTGAAACTGTGCGGGGGGTTATTGTCAACAGCTGTCGTTAACGGGCCTAATGTAGATGTGAACAAGAAAAGACGTGTAATGTATTACATCAAATACCACATTCACCCAACTGGTGGATGTTATTGTTTAAGTAGTTCGAACAAATCTCAGGTTCGAACAAATCTTAAATCCCTAACATCCCTACACAAATGAAGTGGCCCAGAAGGATTATATTACGGCGCATGCGCAGCGGTGACTACGGTTTCCTTATACCTGGAATTGCTGCTGTCGGGTGATCAGGAGTAGTGGCTTTTATTTCTCGATTGGTTTTTGTCCATAAAGACATTTCGGTGAGTTGTTGCTGACTGTGCTAAGCTTTGATTTGGACACAGTCTAATACAATCACTAAGCTTCAACAACAAACGCTAATCGCATCGTAGTTAGCTATCGCTAATCGGTGTTTCCAAAGTCACACATCCGGGTTACGTCGGTCTGATCTGTTATTTGGTTGTGTCCTCAATAAACACTTTTCGTCATTATTTCATCTTCAGGTATTTTAATGCCCAGTGAGTAACGTCTGGTAGAATCGTGTGAACTCTGGCTGACAGTCGATCAAGTAAATCGCCATATTTCTTGTACCACGAGGTAACTCCTGCTAATCGTCGCTAATGTCAGTACGAACAATTGACTTGAGCTTTTGTTTGCAACGTAATATATTTTAATAATTTAATATTTCATAATTTATTTATACATATATTTTTTAATTTACTTTCGGTTTGGTTCCGCTTAAAGTTGTGACTCCAGAAATGACAACCCATATTCCGTGTTTTTTTTTTAAATTTTTTTTTACCCCTTTCATTTCTGTAACGAAATTCCTAGAAATTAGTCCTACGTATTTTTAGGAAATCCCGTTTAGCACTTACACAACGCAACACAACTTGTTTTACTATGTTGTGATATGTGTGCCATAGTTTGAGAACCTCTGTCCCAAACACTAGAACATCGATTTGTTTTCTTCAGTTATCATATTATTTGCAAATGAACAGTAAATTTGCACATTGTGTAAAAATGTGCTATATTAATAGAACAATAATTTGAATACACCAACCCACAGCAATACCCGCATACAATGTACACCTGTCAA